ATACTCTATTTGGTTAAGGAATCCCCGCCATTCTTGGAAATTACCATCAAAACGCAGAGGAGGAGATAGAGAGATAGTTGGTACCTTGTATACTATAGGCGGAGGTACACAAGGCAGAGGTGACACAGTAGGAGCAGCCACAGGTTGCAGATATGCTGTACGAGTAAGAAGCGTACTGAAAGCCTGGGCAAATTGATCCAAGTGGTGATCATTATCCTCCAGTTTCCTTTCGCAAGCAGCTATGTGCTTACACAATTCTACAGGATCTATGGCCATGTCGTAATGTCAGGATTACAGTATGATCCAGCACGTAGAATTGTGTAACACAGAGGACTGATAGGTAACGTATAACGGACCTTAGAATGGCCGGACTAACGTACCAAAGAATAGTCAGGAATAAGCGAGGTCAAGGAAAACAGAAAGAGACACAACGATAAGGAAAAGCCAGGAGTCAGGGATGTCAGAAAACAGGGAAGTCAAAAACAATGAAAAGGCCAAATAACCAGAATCAATAACATGCTCTCGGACAACCACAAGGGAAACCACAACAGGGCACTGAGCAGGATGAGAACTGGGCCTAAATACCCCTCCTCTAGATCTGATAGGCTGTAACCGGCCTTTGACCCCAAAGGCAGTTACCAGATCTCATTTGCATAATTGCTGCTCAGCATTAACCCTTCTGTGGATTTGGTTGTTGCTCGGCACAATTTTTTCTGTGTGGACAGTAAATGTCATTAACCACATTTTTGTAAGCGGATGAATACGTGACACATGCAAAGACACACACACAAGACATACATACAAAGACACATACACACAAACACAAACAAAATATTTTAGTCACGCTCCTGTTTCTTACCTTTTAGGTGCAGGAGGGTGACATTCCCTGGGGTCCAGTGGTGGCTCAGGTGGATGGGAGTCAGAGTTCCTACTCTGACTCCCTGGTCTTCCTCCCGCGCGGTCTGTGTGTTAGCTGCAGGGCCGGACTGGTCCACCAGGATACCGGGAAATTTCGGCATCTGCCGCAGCATCTGGGGCTGCACAGATATGGTCCTGCTGTGCTGTGCTGTAAATTGTGGGAACCGCGAGGGAGCATGGTAGAGAGACATGCTCCTACCTCCTCCTTCCGTCCTCAGCATTAGAAGTGCCGTCGGACTGGCGAGGCTGCCACCCGGCCCGGTGGCTCCAGCGTGGAACACGGCCGGCCCCCTCTGACTCCTCTCAGGTAAATGGAGGGGATGGAGGGGGAAGGTAATATAGAGACACAAGGGAAGGGGGGGAAATAAAACAGAGAGAGGGTGAATAGATAGACACAGGGGAAGAAAGAGACAGTGGGAGAATAGAGAGAGACAGAGGGGGAGGGAGAGTGCCACAGGGAAAGGAGGGAGAAAGAGACAGAGGGGGGAGAGTGAGACACAAGGGGAGAAAGAGGGGAATAGAGAGATGGTAGAGGGGGAGAGAGAGACACAGGGAAAAGGGGGAGAAAGAGACAGAGGGGAAGAGAGAGACACAGAGGGAGAAAGGAGTGAGACACACAAGGGGAGGGGGAGAAAGAGGCAGAGGGGGAAGAGAGAGACTGGGAAGGAGAGGGGAGACATGGACACATAGGAGCAGTGAGGGGGAGAAAGAATCATACAGAGGGACTGGGGGGAGTCAAAAAGACACACAGAGGGGCTGTATATATACTGGGGGATCCAGGGGGGGCAACGGGCAATTGCCGTCCCCTAGAGGCTCTCCCCTGCTGGCCAATGCAGGGCTGGCACTGTCCAAGCGCCATGTGCCTTTACGGACCGGAGGGGGGATCAGAGATCTCCCTCCCCGTTCTGCAGGCACCGTGCAGGCAGCCGGCAGGGGAGGGACAAAGAGAGGACCCGGGAGCTCAGCCTGCAGCTCCTCCGGGTCCTTCTTGCGCGAGTACAGAGCGTTGCAGTGGTTACAGGGACAATGCTCCGGCTCTCGCAAAGAGTGAACTCTAGCCCTGGAGCTACGGGCTAGAGTTCACTCTCACCACTGCGACCTCTAGCCCCATACACACACTGCCCCCACACACACCATACACATTCACACATTGCCCCACACACCCTACACACTGAACCTTTCACACAAACTGCAACCCTCACACATTGCACCACTGCTCCTATACCCTACTATAGACCCATATCCCAACAGACCCCAGGTAAGTTGTCAAACTGTTCTTAAACGGTTTGACTACTTACTCTGGGAGCGGGTCCCGGCACTCCTGGCACCATAACCATTACACAGAACAGTAGTGGTTATTGTGCATGGATTATTTCTTTAAATAATCTATAAGTGTCCCTCCCGAGATCAGGCTCTGGATCCGCCACTGGTATATATATATATATATATATATATATTTATATATATATATCATGTCTATATATATATATATATATATATATATATATATATATATATATATAATGTATATTAATGTGTGTATTAGTTATATATATATATATATATATATATATATATAAAATTATGCCTATTATATTTACACATATATTAATGTACATTTATATATGCATAATACACAGAGAAATGTCATTGATATGTACCATATGTAATGAGCAGATATTGGCCCAGTCTTGTTGCTAGGTGCATACTCCAGCACAATAACATATTTAAAGTGAAGAGCGCACCCACGGGACTTCAAAATAAACAAGATAATGTAATTTTTTACAGTTGTGCCCTACATACATTCACCATTTCAGTCCCATTACCAAGCTTTTCTTAATATGTCAAGGTAGTTGGACTGAAACATTGATTACATGCAAAGGCACGTCTGCTTAAAATAAATCTGCAGTCTCGCTTTTTTTTTAAGCCTATATGTGCTTTTTTTCACGTTGGAGTAATAATTTTTAATTTTAAGTTATCTTTTCTAACGCTGTATCTGCGCACTCTGCTGGCACAATGCATTATGGGGCTGGTAAATAATTTTTTTCCATGGCTGCTTTTAATTCCCAGTCCGGCCCCGGTTAGCTGGGTGGAGTGACATGCCAGCTCTGTGATGTAATCACAGGAGCCCGGTCGCGCTGTTAAAGCGCCCAGCGCTGACCGAGCACCCTTACAATCCACATCCATCGGGTGGCCCTGACAGCATGGGCCACCCGATGGACCCCTTGGACGGCCGCCCCGGCAGTTTGCTGCGCGGGCCAGGGCCGCAAATGGTGATGGCGGTACCCGGTCGCACGGGTACCGCTGGCTCGCACTCGCCCGCCCAATCTCTCAAATTGAGGAAATCCCTACCGCCCACCTGGAATCCTGAATCGGTAGCGACCAGGTTGACGACCCATGGTGTAAACTGTATGGGTTTTAAACCATTGTATGAGTTTAATAATGTTGATTGTCTAACAAACAGAACAAAGGATACAGGTAGCACCAAAATAAATACAATATTGTAGTAAGTAATAAGAAAAAGGTACCAAGTAAGAGATAAAAATTTAAAAAAAGAGATACAAACAATAATAAAATTGCATAGCATTTCGCCTTATTAGGCTTCTTCAAGTGAAAAACTTCCCTTAATTTTCACTTGAAGAAACCTAATAGGGCGAAATGCGTTGTGATTTTATTATTTTGTTTAAATTAAAAGTAAGATTTTCAGACTACCTATTTGCTTTGGGGCAGTCTTTTATACTTTTATTTTATTTGTACCTGGCACAACCTATTTCCCATACACATCAGGTCCATCATCAAAAGTATCCTAGGTGGGGATTGTTCCACCCACGTTGTTACCATAGAGCGGTTTGTCTGCTCCTAAAATTGTAAGGACATTTCATTTTTACTATTACATATTTGCATATATGGAGAGCACTATGGGCCTTCTTTCTCTTTAATTGCATACAATCAACACTACAACTATCGTCTGAGGGATTTCCTACAAGTGGGGAGTTTAAATACCACTGTAAGCTGCTTTACTGAGAGTTGGTTATAGCTCTGAAAAACGTGAGTTGGCAATTTTAAGTTTTATGTTGTCTATAGTCCCCTATTTTCTCTTTTGCATATACCATCGATGTGTGATACTACTCCGTAGACATCTTATTCAACACTTGAAGACTTTTAAAAACCTCAAAAGGACATTTTTATCTCTTACTTGGTACCTTTTTCCTATTACTTACTCCAATATTGTATTTATTTTGGCGCTACCTGTATCCTTTGTTCTGTTTGTTTGATTTATCCTTGAAGGTTTTGAGGGTTACCTTCCTATTCAGGTGTGCAGTCCCCTTGTGATCAGTTATTGTAGCGCTGTTTCAACCTTGCTTTTAATGTTGATTGTCTGTTTGCTCCGCTACTTTTATGACTACTTTTTATTGCTGTACTGACTGTAAAGGCAAAAGTGTTTGATCAGCTAGTAACGGCAAATTATTAACTCACTCTTTTAATTATAATATATGGCATAGGTTTTCACCCACATTGCAAAAAGTCTGGTAACGCGGCCAAACCGGATAAACAAATCCAATTTGGCTTTTACTAAAAAAAAAGCCTAATTTGGTTTTAAAGGAACGCTATATTGTTAGGAATATAAAACTGTCCTAAAACTGTATTCCTAACACTATAATGTCCCTCTGACCCCATGGGGCTCCTTGGAGGGATTGGTTTAGGTCTTGTTATCTCAGCCCAACTCCAAGTATTGCTAGAATGAATTCCTCAGGCATCAAATAGATATATCCAGTAAGTAACAGTGAAACAACTGCCAAATAATAGACACCTATAGACAGACATGCAATAAATGCACACTGCCTCTTTAATCAGGGACCCTTATAAACCTGCTGCTTGTCTGCCAGGTCCTATTAAACCCACATAATGCAGACTGAGACCCTCTGTGTGTGTTGTGTATGCATTGGATCAATGTGTGTCTTCCTTCCCCCTATAGAGACTCATAGGCTCCAGTAAAATGGCGCCGGAGTGAGGGGGAGACGTTCTGCGTTTCTCTCTGGGTTATAGAACTCCAACGCGGGAGGCAGGGGAGGATTGTGCGCATGCGCATGGAGGGGATGCTTGTACGCATGCGCAGTGCGGCTGCCATGGAACGCCCTGTAGCTGTCTCCAGCTTCCGGTATAGCCGCGTGACAGGTTCGGAGAGAGCTCTCTGCTGCCCGGCGGGGAGAGGGGGGCGAGACCCGGAAGTGGCCCGGAGCGAGGACTCACCGATTCCCAGGCCGGAGTTCGGTAAGTGATTTCGGTGCAGCGGATATGACAGAATATGGGGCCTGTCACTGAGCCGGACACACCCTGCTAACCCAGCAATACTGAGAGTATACAGCCAGGGGGGGCCATACTGACAGTATACAGCCAGGGGCCATACTGACAGTATACAGCCAGCCATATGACAGTATACAGCCAGAGCCATACTGACAGTATACAGCCAGGGGCCATACTGACAGTATACAGCCAGGGCCATACTGACAGTACAGTACGGCAGCCAGGGGCCATACTGACAGTATACAGCCAGAGGCCATACGACAGTATACAGCCAGCCATTATACAGCTGACAGTATACAGCCAGAGCCATACTGATATACAGCCAGAGCCATACGACAGTATACAGCCAGTACTGACAGTATACAGAGCCATACTGACAGTATACAGCCAGAGCATACACTGAAGTACTGACAGTATACGGCAGTATACAGCAACCAGAGCTACTGGTATCAGCCAGCCAGCCAGGGCCGCTTACGGCAGTATACAGCCAGAAGCCATACTCAGCCACCATATACAGCAGGGCCATACGGCCTACTGACAGTATACAGCCAGGCCCTGACAGTATACAGCCAGAAGCATACGGCAGTATACAGCCAGGGGCCATACTGACAGTATACAGCCGACCAGATAGTATACAGCCAGAGCATACAGTATACAGCCAGGCCACCTGACAGTATACAGCCAGGGGCCATACGGCAGTATACAGCCAGAAGACAGTATACAGCCAGCCATACTGACAGTATACAGTACTGACAGTATACAGCGAGGCCATACTGACAGTACCACAGGCCATACTGACAGTATACAGTACTGACGTATACAGCGACATACTGACAGTATACAGTGACGGGGCCCCATACTGACAGTATACAGCGAGGCCATACTGACAGTATACTACGAGTACCGGATAGGGATACTGACAGTATACAGCCAGTATATACTGAGGTGCAGCCAGGTACAGCAGCACTACACTACTGACAGTATACAGCCAGTATATACAGAGGGGTGTATACATTTAGCCAGGGGCATACTAACAGTATACAGCCGGGTGATCATACTAACAATCCATACAGCTAGGGGGGGTCATACTAAGAGATACTTACACCACTGCCCATCACTTACCTACACTGCTTTGTGAATGCTCACTATGTATCCCTTTTGGGACTTCTTAATACTAAATTAGTGTCTTAAGAGTTTTTGAGTGACCTGTTGGAGATAGTCAATTAGGCAAGATTTAGAACAATCAGAATATTTGAATTGGTACTGTAACATAAAATACTGCTTTTGTGTGCAGTAACCCCTTCTCTGCTGGGCTGCCAGAGGAGGAGGGTTGTCAGGGAGGACAGACTGAGCATAGCGCAGGGATGGCATGGAGAACTCCATCTGCTATTGGGGTCTGTTTACCAGTGAATTGTAGTAATTTGCATGGGTCAATATTCTTTAACTTTGCATCTTGGATGACTGTGTGTTACATTCACAGCTGATCAGTCCGAAAATGTGTAGGTCTACCTCTGTTTGTTCCCACTGTGTTGATGGAAAGGTGAAAACCTAATATGGGAATTCATTTTTATAATTAAATTGCAAACATGTCTGTGCTGCTGATTAGTCGCAGTTTGACAGACCTCAGAGAGAATAACTGACTTTATGCATATAAGCTGCCTTGATTAGTGCTTTTACGAGCACTAAATCGTCTCCTTGTGTACTCATGAAAATAACTATTGGAACCATTTCCAACCCTATTGGTGCAGCTCCTTGCAGCACTTTTGAGGTCTACCTGCGGCTCGCAGGGTGGTTCGGGTGTGCAGGAGATAGCCAATTCTTCTACCTGGATTTCCTTGATTTCCTGGAGTGCCGTAATACCTGCTACCTCTCGCCAGTGAGGGATATCTGAGTACTTAATGGTGGTGTTGCGGAGATCCCTGATCAACTCTGGTGTTACACACTCACCAAGGTGGTGGATGCCTTGTGTTTCTTCAAAATTGGTGGCTTACTATCTTCTTCTCTGGAGAGGTTTGATGCGCCATTTGTTGCTTTTTTGCTAAAGCTCGACAGTGGTCGACGTCCTTCCATAAACAGAGATACTGGGACACAAGTGTCCACCAACCCGCGCAGGCTCAGGACCCCTTGCAGAGATAAAAGGCCTTTGCTGCTCAGTGTGTCATGCTGACATCAAGAGGTCCTGTCTTGGGGGGCGGGGCCTGACCAGCATTGCAAACGGTCGTACATAGCTTGAGTTCTAGGAGAACACTTGACAATATAGGCCGTTTTGTTGGCTCTTTCACCACAAATTTGGCTTTACATGACCCTGCTAACTCACAGCACACCTGGAACTCTCTCAGCATGTTTTGAAGCCGACATTGCTACAGCTGCTGGACAGCATCATCTTGCATCCTAACTGCGGCTTGACTGTACGGAGGTGGCCAATCCCTCAGCACAAGTTTCCGTTGGACCCGCGGTGGACTGCTCGATCTTCCCGGGAGGCGATGGGACCAGTGTCCACCTCCTCTTGACCCCTCCATCGGAGAAGAGGACTGTCCCAAGACAAGCAGGCTCCTACACACCTCTACAGAGATCCTGCGGACTCTCTCTAAGGGACACCCGTAGCCAGTACCCATCAGGATCCCCTGCCACACCACTGGAGATGCAGAGGCATTGGCTGAGCGACTCACTTAAGCTAGGGTCCCTCACCTTCACTGCATTATCTGCGTCTTCCACTCCACACCTGCAAGAGAGTAGATCCCATCAGCATGAAGAAGAATAGGATCCAAAAAGCGACTAAAGATCTGACCTGTCAGCCTGCACCTATGTTCTGTGCCATGCAGTATGCCATGGTCCTGATCTATGTTGCCTGTATATCCTCTGTTTGTTACAGCTGTAGTGGAGTACCAAGCGTGCATGTTAACACTTGCACAATAAAATAAAGATTTTTTTTTTTTTTTCAAATGTCCCGTCTTTACCCTTCTCTAGGCAATGGTCTTCCAGAGGGGATCCCCCACTGCATCGCCGAAGCACTAGTACGAGCCATGAAAATAAGAAGGGGACATAGTACAGCGCTACAGAATCTGATGGCGCTATATAAATAATAAAATAATAGGCTTTGCTTGGAAACCAGATGCCGCTTTAAAACCATCTATACCAGCGGTTGCTGGGGATAGTTACACACTGCGGAATAGACTAGTGCTATTGCCAGTTTTGCTGCCTGGAAGCCAGCCAGTGGTATACCTCATGTGCATTTGGGACGTGACTTATTAAAGGTGTTTGCCTTCGTTCTTAATGAAGATTTACGCTAGTCGCTTTCTGACATTTTAAGGCTGATCAGTGTCCCTTGCAACTCCTCTCGCATTGCAAGTTTTCCATAGGTATGTGTGTTCTGTGTTAAACGCTCTCCTTACCTTGGAGACACGACAAGTGATACTTGTGTATGTTGTTGAGCTTGGGAATGTCCAGAACACTATTTACTACTATTTGTTATAATTTTTAAATGTGGTATTTGTGTTTAAGAGTATATGTTAACTGTATGATAATATCCTTACAAAACTGTCTGTAAAATCTTTGTGAAGCGCTTAATTCTCTTATAATTTTAAAAGGTGGTAATTGTCGTTGGGCAGGTTGGCAAAAAAGTCTTAAGATGTTTATAAAATGATCTAAAATAAAGAAAACTCTCCCCAACCCTTAAGGGGACACTCCAGGCACCCAGACCACTTCTGCCCATTGGAGTGGTCTGGGTGCAAACTCCCACTACCCTTAACCCTGCAACTGTAAATATTGCAGTTTTCATAAAAACTGCAATGTTCTCATGCTATGTGAGGACCTCCAGCGTCGCTAAAATCCCCATAGGAAAGCATTGAGGCATTGCCGCGCATGCGCAATCAGGTCTCATCCCGGCAGCCGCGCATGCGCAATCGGTCGGAGGAGCGTGGGCAGACCCTAAACCACCGCCGAGGGACATTGGCGGTGGTCTCGGGTAAGTCGCTCAAGGGGTTTTTACCCCTTCAGCAACATGGGATGGGGGGTGGGAGGGAGAGGAGACCTTGTTGTGTAGAGTGCCCTTTTATCTTTAGAAGTTGTTCAATGGTGTAAACTTTGTGTTTTAAACCATTTTATTAGTTTAATAATGTTGATTGTCTGCTGCTACTTTTATGACTTTTTATTGCTGTACTGACTGTAAAGGCAAAGTGTTTGATCAGCTAGTAACAGCAAATTATTAACTCACTGTTTTAATTATAATATAGAATACGTTTTCACCCACATTGCAAAAGTCTGGTAACGCGGCCAAACCGGATAAACAAATCCAACTTGGCTTTTACTAAAATAAAATAAAAAATCCTAATTTGGTTTTAAAGGAACACTATATTGTTAGAAATTCAAAACTGTCCTAAAACTGTATTCCTAACACTATAATGTCCCTCTGACCCCATGGGGCTCCTTGGATGGATTGCCCTGCCTGGATCTGCCTTGCCTTGGTTTAGATCTCGTTTACTCAGCCCAAATCCCAACAGGTATTGCTAGACTGAATACCTCAGGCATCAAACAGATATATCCAGTAAGTAACAGTGAAACAACTGCCAAATATCTAAAACTTCTAGTCAAACATGCAATAAATGTAGTCCCTTGCAGACACACTGCCTCTTTAATCAGGGACTCGTAAAACTGCTGCTTATATTCTCCATAAGCTTCTCCTACTACGTCCTATTAAAACCACATAATACAGATTGAGAACCTCTGTGTGTTGTGCGCTCAAAGCTACAAGGATGCTGCATTTTCTTAATCTCAAGAGCTGCTGGACCTTTTTAAACTTAAACTGGTCCGAAGTAATGTGCATGCATTGAATCCATGCTTTCCTATGTGGAATTTGAAGTAGTTAGATGTCCTCATGCAAAACGTGCGGACATCCAACGTCCTTTCTTCTGTTAAGGAGCAGATAGGGTCTCAAGTGGCTGGAAGACAGCACCTGGAGGTGGAATTAAAGGGATACTATAGTACTCGCTCCCCCATCCCCCACCGCTTGTCACTTATCGATGTGCCTTGTTGAGGGTTCAGGCTACGCTTCTGCACTCGCATTGGTACGTCCCCTATTGCAGGGCTGCCCAACAGGTAGGTCCCCAGATGTTGTAGAACTACAACTCCTATGATGCATGCCTCTAAAATGCTTTTAGAATGACAAAGCATCATGGGAATTGTAGTTCTACATCTGGGGATCTACCTGTTGGACAGCCCTGCCCTAAAGGAAATCATTGTATAATGCTTTCCTACAGGGTTTTGGATGACGCTGGATGTTCTCACGCAGAGCATTAGGACGGCAGACAACCAAAAATCACCTAACCACCCGGAAGTCTGGTAGACAGGCACTGGTGGTGGATTTAACCCTGCAAAGTAATTATTTCAGTCTTTCAAAAACTGCAATAATTACAATTGCAGGGTTAAGGGGCTTAATGAGATTTTTGAAACATAAAATCGGGATCTTCTATAAATTGGATAACAGAAAAGCAGCCAATGTCATAGACACCTTCAGTGTTGCACAATTTCAAGTCCTAAAAGTACTCTCTTCTTCACATATTGTTAATATTAAAGGAACACATTATAGGGTCACAAACATGTATTCCTGACCCTATAGTGTTAAAAACACTTAGGAGGCCGACCCCCCTTTAAATAGGATAGAAGCTCACCATTATTCCAGCACTGCTGGCCCCGTCCCGATATACCTACTTGACTGAGATCATCATAATTGACAATCTCAGCCAATCCAATGCTTGAAAGGCAGTGTTTACATGAAAAGGCCTACAAGCACAGGCAATAGACGACAGAATAACTACATTAAGCTGTAGGTTTTTTTGGCGACTTTAGTGCCCATTTTATAAGAATCAATGGTCCCACACTAAACCGGTCCTGATGAATGCTTCCACTAAACTGAGCCTGATCTCTTAAACCACTGCTGGACATTTGTTGAACACGACTATTGAAATAAAAAAGGGGGGAGGAGGGGGTGGTCTGGGAAGATTCTCCTCCAGACATGGCTTGGCTATAAATCCTGATGTTTTTCAGTAAACACAATAACTTTAAAACTGAATTTAACTTCAGCCTGAGAGCATTTCCCCTCGATAACATTTGAGCTTGTTTGCATGAAATGCCTTTTCGTGTCATTTGATGGCGACACTGGTCGTGCTGTGGTGGTCATTAGATTTTTATTTCCCACGATCTGTTCCTATTTAAATGCAGGCGCTGTTCAAGCTGGTAGAGATATGCAATCATGTTTGAATCACAGGTTTATCAAGTCACCATTTACCGTATGGGCTTAGCCCTTACTTTGAAATATGTGTGCGCCTGCATGCTTTAACCTGTGTAAATGAATCACGATTGTTTGTTTGCACAGGGCTGCAGAATATACTGGCATGTGATGATTAAGCAATTAATCCGGATAATATTAAATGTACACAGATGCCACTAAATCAGATACATCTGATTTACTTAGAATTCTAAATCTAACTTTGTCAGTAATTTTTTTTTTTTTTAACCTAATCATTAAAATACTCAGGAAGGAGAGGGTCAGTTGCAGCTTGGTGATGAAAGATGTGTTAGGCTGTTCTGCAGATAGCAAAAGGAAAGTATCTACGTCATGGGAAGGGAATGTTGGGGTTTCTTCTGTTCCAATTGGAAGTGTGTTCGGAAATTCCGATTGAATGACATTGGTCTTTGTCAAACATCTCTATGTTCCGGACTGCATTAGCACATTAAAACCGTGCAGCAAACCTTAGCGTCCCATGCTCTTGTAAGTATCCTATTTTCTTTTACCGTTTTCTTATTGTGAATAGAAGGATAGATGATGTATTTTTCTGATAAATAGCAGTCATTGTTTGAAGGTTAATCATGCTGTCTTTGTGTGGATCATATCTTTAATACTAATACAAGTCTACAGGGTAATGAGTCGTATCAGACGCAAATCTGAGAGCGCGGTCTAACTGACAGCAGTAACTGTAATGTTGTTTATTTGTCTGTTACTTGGTTCTGTTATTATGTAATCCTAATTTAGCAGGTTCATTCACTGAAATGGAAATTAACTGGGGCTTATGCAAGTTTCAGGACAAAATATCCAAATTGAAAGATTTATCCAACCCAACTATTTATCATCTATGCTGTTATTACCTAAAGTTTTTTTAAGTTTCAGTTATTGTTTTAGTTGTATAACTGGTTATTTCCCAACAATGCCCAGTTTATTTAATAACTAAGGTTATTTGAATATTTGGGACTCATCTGGAGAATCATTACTATTAGACAAAAATAGCCAATCTGGAAATACAATGGATTTGGGGGGTCTATTCCCCCAGTTTAGCTATTTTGTCGTCGAATTTGCATTCCCTGGTGAGTTCCTGATGATGTTAAGTGAATAAGCTTAGTATGTCTTTTATGTATGTTTGCATCCTTGTTAGCCGTTGAATGGCTGTTTCTCACAGTGTCCTTTACTGCACAGCTGCCAATCTGCATACTGACAGTTTCAGAATAAATAGCATAACAGGTATAAAGAAATTTAATTTAAAAGAATGTTTTATTGCAAATATGAACATAGTAGAGAATATCGAAGGACTTCAAAGTTTCTCAAAATTAGGAATTATGATATGCTGCTGCAATTCCCCCTTCATGACAGGGCGGTCTTTCACCCCCAGATAGAGCGGCCTTCAACCCCCAAACCTCTCCACTGTGAGTGATAGAGATACTTGGGACCCAGTCATTACTCTGATACAGGGCAAAAGGGGGTTAGTCTTTATTTTAAAGTTGGTTGCCCTCTCATTCTTAATAAAACAAACCCTTCAATTGCAGGTTTATAGTGTGACCAGGGGGTCTAAATGCATTTTTATGAGTGGGGGAGGAGAGGGGGGCTGGCAGTTCACTACACATTAACCCTCCCTGCTCACTCACGATTGCTGTGGATGCTGGGGGCAGATATGCACAGCATTACTATTGTATGTGCCTGTCAGCACTTCCCAACATGCGTTCATTGTCTGGGAGCAGTTTGGTAAATTGCTGTGACTGACAGCTTCAGTCTAAGCTGTCCGTATCGGCATCTATCGGTAGATTGTGGTGTGCGTGTTTGCAGACTGTGATCTAAAATCCATGACAGGCAGAGACTATTACTTGTCCTATGAAGGCAGTATTAATCGATAGCCCAACATCTCCTGCTCGGAAGTAATTTTTGTACGGTATGTAATGTCCTCAGACAAGCAGCAGTAGAGTTCTGCCCAAGCTGGGATGTGTTTCCACCTATCAGAACTCTCTCATTTGGGGTTTTTGGGATCTGAAATAAAAGGGTTAGTCCAATCACCGTGACTTCTTCTGTGATTATTTAAAGTGGTCACGGTTAAGAATAGACAGATTCAGTTATGCCAAATATCAGATCCAATATTTAGCACATTTCCGATAATCGGTAGGAGTCTTTCAATTTACCAATATTACCAGTCACTGCATACAATCTTCCTTTTTCGGAAACTTCAGCTGCCAGCCATGGAGGTGCCACATTGCACCTCACGTCACCCCTTCACTGTGAGTACCTACATGCGAAACTCTGCTGAAAGCAAGGAGGAGAGACCATGAATAATCTACTGTAATGTACAAGGCTGCCTGCCTGCCTGAGAGTGACAAGAGTGTGATTCCTGTCAGCATGTTGAGTTAATGCCAGATTTGTGTAGAAACTGTTGCTTTTGAAAAACTTTACATGTACAGATTATCAGCACAAAAGGCCACTGATAATCCGTATCCGCTCTGGTATAATATCATCTGTCGATCCCTAGTCATTGTGTCTGCAGTCTGTATGTGCAGCACTATGCACATACAGAGTTTAACCACTTAGCTGCCAGAGGTGTAACTACACCTCCAGTGACGACTTTAGCCAGCTAATGTCAACTCTGTGCAAAATTGTCATCTGACGCCAGCACACACAGCATGCTGGAGCCCGGCAGCCAATGGCGTCGTGGCCTTCGCTGACATCTCTCCTTTAATAATAAACCCCACAATAAACTTCTTATACCATAACCGAGACAGTAAGTTTCCATTGTTATGGTGATGAAGGTTCATTTTAAAGTTTGCATGCAATTAACTTCCACTTCCTGACTTTTTATATATATATATATATATATATATAAAATTAATCTTTTTATAACCTTGCCACTCTAACTCCCACCAGATCCAGCCAGCCAGATAGGGCCAATATGACTTGCATCGTACTGAAACTGGAATAAACTTATACAGGGAAAATCCAATTACACTTTGTAACCTGCTGGTCGTAATCCAAACTAGAATTTTCTTTCCCCACAAAATTAAGTAAAACTTTTAAATCAAAAAACACAAAACTTTTTTTTTAATAATTTATCTAAATAAAAGGAAAAAGCTACCAAGTGATAGGTTGCCTTTCACGTCATTTAATTTTGAACTCTTCGTTAATATATGCTTCAGATATAAATCTTTTACAATCTTTTAACCGTTTATGGCATTACTAGCCCATGACTGCCAATTTCAGCTCGTAAGATTTCTTTTTTTTCCTGTTTGTCATATAAAGTGGATTTAATGTATATATTAAAACTTAAGGAAACCAACAACTAAAAAAAAATAATCTTGGCACTACCTGTTGGGTCTGAAAATAAAATAAAAAACGTCTACTGTTTGAGAGTTAATAACAGGCTGTACAAAGGGCAGATTGCACGGTATTTTAATTTCTTAGGTCTGGTTTTCCCCTATTCTATCTAAAACTAAACAGGCTCACTTACTACAGCATGACATCATATACTTTGTAGAATGTGTACAACAGTAGTAGACACGTAGAGTGCATTGCATGTGTCTTCCAATGGGAAATTCCATCTCGGAAATTCTCTGTGGGCTGGGCTGAATGAGGAATACAAATGGAAATAGCAGATAGCATGCTGCATATGGTACAATCCTGGCAGGTAGACTGACACACATACTGGAAGATACAAGTAACTCTGTGAGTACAGTATGCGTGTAGCATGGAGCGATTGTAAATAAATATTCAGGAAGCGTAGATCTTACATTTTATTCTGTAGGTCCATGTGTCTGTAATCCTGCCTTGTTCTGCTGTGCTGCGAATATGTAATCTATTTATTTATGATGGGTCACGTCGTTTGAGGGGTCTGTTAGATATCTGAAACATCATCCAAGGAATGTCAGAAAATACTCAGTCTTTAGATTTTCACTCTGGGCCTAGAAGTAGAATTTATGGATGAGCAAAAAAAAAGTAATTGTAAAGTTTATTTTTTAAGTGTTGTTTTTTTTTTTTATTTTACTATTTTTTTATTTTATTTTTTGTATATATGTTTTCAGTAATATAATTACCAAATTAAGGGGGAGACATTTGTACTTTTTAGTTAAACACAGACTCGCTTTCTTAAAAGCAAAGTGTAAACAAGGTACACTTTTTAGAACATTAATGTGGAGCGTTTTCTATTTGTTTACAATTTAAATCTTAATAATGCGATTTTTGTCCATTGCATTTATTTCCAGTAATCCAGGCTGGGATTAGCATATTATCACTTCACAATGATTGACGCGTTCTTTACTTAATACATTAATTTTCCTACTTAAAGAGGTGTATCGTTTTATCTCAGGTATTGACTAAAATGGAACCATATTTAAATTTAACATAACCGTGACAAAAAGGCAAAGTGGTAATTGCTGAGAATTTGCTAGAATTGCTAGTGAATCTTAAATTTAAGGCCCGAATGGAAGTATAGTTGACATAATTTTCTTGTTCTGCTATCTTGGCCTAAAATTTTAAATTCACTTGGTGTTCTCTGAAATCTCACTTCAGTAAATAATCTTGAGAATCTTGATCTCTAAGACCCATGTAAAGTAGCATAATTAATATTATTAATGTGTTATATATTTTTTTTATTTTTGAAGATGAACTATGTCCGCTTGTGATGTACTAAGTTTGCATGCCTATTTAAAGCGTTAACAGGCATGCTAAAATTAGGAGTATAGTGGTACAGCTAAGGTTAATTGTAAGGGTTTAGTTTGGTTAGTAGTTAATTAGAGAGAATACAATTGTCTGCTTTGATTAGGTAAATTGTGAGACCTGTGTGCTGTTTTGATGTTTATCTCACATTTTGTTGCACTCTGTATAACAGGTATGAAAAGTAGAGAAGATTGAGCTCCCTTTTACCAGCTGTTAATGGTGCTGAGCCAGCCCAGAGTCCCGTTACTATGAGTCTCATGAATACCAGGACCAGCTTAGACACAGGGGATTCGGAGGACGCCTGCTGTGGAGCCATGGCGAATGCTTGTTGTATCAACTCGAAGGAGGACATTGTCAGCACCCCGGGCGGTACACCTGTTGGGAACCCAATGAGTCTTGTGATGGAAGAGGTGCAAGGATATGATGTGGACTTTGATCCTCCTCTCGAAAACAAATACGAGTGTCCCATCTGCCTGATGGCACTTCGGGAGGCTGTGCAGACTCCTTGCGGTCACCGATTCTGTAAAGCTTGTATTATGAAGTCTTTAAGGTGAGTCATGTTCGCTCTGTATTGAATGCATTTGTCATTACGTTTTGAGTAACATCCCATACCTTTTACAATTTAAGCTTGTTAAAGCTGTCATCAACTTGTTTTCCTTTATGTCCCACATATCATGTAATATTTGTTTTTTGCCTCTCATTGTAAAGTACTAATCTATAAGTAGAATATATCGGGGTGTGTGTGAGTATATAAAATATTTCAGCGGGCAGAGGCAATGTCATACATGCAGTTCATTTACGTAAGGAATAATGCACAGATGACATTTGTGTAGTTTCAGGACCCTTATTTCGGGCAGGACTGAGAGTTGTGGGAGTTAGGTTCCTGAGCAGCAGCTACCACATTTTACCTGCGGCAGCTGAAATAGCCCCTGCCATGTACTGTAGCTCCCACTGAGAATAAAGTCATCCCATTAACCTCTACACTACCATTAACCTTAAAGGACCACTATAGTGCCAGGAAAACATACTCGTTTTCCTGGCACTATAGTGCCCTGAGGGTGCCCCCACCCTCAGAGTCCCACTCCCGCCCGGCTCTGGGGAGAGAAAAGGGGTAAAACTTACCTTTTCTTCCCAGCTGGGCGGGGAGCTCTCCTCCTCCTCTCCGCCTCCTCTCCTCCCATTCGGCTGAATGCGCACGCGCGGCAAGAGCTGTGCGCGCATTCAGCCTGTCTCATAGGAAAGCATTTCCAATGCTTTCCTATGGACGCTTGCGTGTTCTCACTGTGATTTTCACAGTGAGAATCACGCAAGCGCCTCTAGCGGCTGTCAATGAGACAGCCACTAGAGGATTTGAGGGCTGGATTAACCCATTTATAAACATAGCAGTTTCTCTGAAACTGCTATGTTTATTAAAAAATGGGTTAATCCTAGAGGGACCTGGCACCCAGACCATTTCATTAAGCTGAAGTGGTCCTAGTGCCTAGAGTGGTCCTTTAAGCATTCACTCTGCATACTGTCACTGAGGTACACAACTACCTTCAGACTCTAAATTGTAGTTTAATGACACAGCACAGTGAGGATTTTATGGCACTTGACAGGGCTGACTTTCTACTCCCCAATAGCTAGTGGGCACGTGGAAAATTTCAGCCATGTGTGTTTATTTTGAATCGGTAGCACTCACTGGACATTTAGTTGAAAAATCAGGTTTCGTCCTGGCCGTGTGGATTGTTGAGAAAGATTCTTTGCTTAGATGACCGATACTGTGTATCTACAAAAAGGACTCCTCATAGGCAGTTTTTACATCTTTTAACACTTCTGAAAACTCCTGGCTTATACAAAATATGGAGATTTGGTTATACTGTATGAAAGCTATACTTTAATTTTTGGGATTTTTCCTTTTTTATTTTATATATATTTTCCTACCAAGACCCAACAAAATAACTTTTTTTGGGGGGGGGGCGGGGAAGGGGAGATCTTTCTTCTTGCGGCCATATTTCTTTGGCTCCTGGAGACTTCATCTGCCAGGATTGTTTTCACTACTGCATTCTCGCGCATATGCAAGAGTGTAAAATGAGGTCTATGGAGGAGCTCTTGAAACTGTGAGGTCTTCCATAGCTTTATTCAGACTTACACTTGACTTGTCCTATCAGCAATCATGACAGAAGGCTTATGGGAAACGGTGGTGAAAACTGCTCACTTTGGCAATGATTGGAAGATACATATGGAAACGCATTCCCTTCTTTGTCTCATGTATATTTTTTATTTGCTTTGGAATTTGAAAGAATTTCCAACATGGAAAAAAGAGCTTTTCATGCAGATCTTTATAAAGAGGTCAAATGTGGCAAATCGACTTTAAGTACACAGTGTGTACAACATTAGATCTTGTGTCTGACCATTAATGCAAAATGATTTTCTGTGAATTGAGGGACATTGACAATTGAAATTGAAATTCTGGCATATAAAAGTAGAAATTACTGCTCATTTTTCAAGCTTCCGTTTATACAGCACCTATCAGCAACCATACAATATTGTCTTCTGCCTGCTCCTCAGGTGCCATATTGTTACTGTCGGCCTCTGGGCAATCTATCTCCAGTATCCGCATTAATAAAGAAAGGTGCAATTTTATGTCTAAGAGAAGGCAATCCACGTAATCCATAAAAACAAAATTCACTTTATTTCCCAAATGTTGTTATATTATAAAAAGAATGTATGTGCAAAACAAATCATAGGCCTACAGAAATAAAGGGGGCCATAGATCAATCTATTTGTTTCATATAATTATACTATATCAAGTCTAACCTCACCATTTTAACACCAGTTCAGTTACAAAGTGTATGAATAGCTTGTAATTCAAATCCTACTTCAGAGGAAAACACCTCTGCGTGATATTTCTTATCTCTGTTTAAGAGCGCAGAGTGATGATATCATTATATATAAAGTGAACACATAGTTAGACAATGTATAAAATTATATGATCGTATACAAAATGTGCATAATATTAATAATAATAAAGCGATACACCTCACAAAAAGTGTTAGACCAATTAGCGTGCTTTAAAAACCAGGCTAAAACATGCAAAACTGTTCTATACAATTTTACATCAATCTTAATGTGCATAATCTGGAGAGAGAAAACATGGAGCCTGTAACAAGGTGAACACAAATGTAAGATTTCTAGCTAACAAGTGAAAATGCATGTCCAGAATGAATAATTTGGAAAATGTCACTCATTGTGCCCCAGCAAAAATAAAGTAATTTTCCAGATACTCTAATCGTGGTACCCATTCTCCTACACAACCAATTCTGTTTAAAGTAAACCTCCAAAAAAAGGAAGAGAGAAACATATGAACAGCATGCCATGTTGTCATAAGGGGAATATCATCGCCATATGTCTGTGTAAATTACAGTATGAAGTTAAAGTAGCGTTCCGAGCTCTGTAACCATTTAAAGCATGCACTGTAGTAGTTATGGTGTTAGGAGTGCCCTGGAGCCCCCTTCCATTGTAATGAATGGCTTTTTACCTGAGGACCTGCCAGGCTCTGCTCCCTGAATCCACTACTCCAGCCAAAGAGCTGGAGATCCTGTTTAGGGACTTCCACTAGCTCTGCTGAGCTAAGACCTGCATTCAGCTGATATCTCTCAACCAGCGAGCTAATCCCGGCACTACCGGGCTCAGCACAGACAGAGAGCTTCTGGTAGGGGAGGTGGGGAGCGGTGTCCAGTGGATCACAGGTAAGAAGGCAAACTGTTCTAGAACAGTTTGACTACCTACGGGGGATAATACATCATGTGGGGACTGGGGCTTTATTTTTATTCATGGTTTTTAGTCACCAGCATATTTATTTCAGTATGATTGTTATATGATTTGCTTCGCTGTCTAACTCACATTATGTGTGTACAAGACTTTTGCACAAATGCTTTTCAGCTTGTATGTACGCATCAAATGCCTTTCATTCTGCACCCAAACAAATCAATCTGCCTGGGATTTACCTGTGGATTCTTATTCAACAAATACGACTCCACAGGTTAATCCTGGACTTCTCAATTCATCTAGGCGCAGATTGAAATGAGTTTGATTCTTTTCGCACACAAGCTGAATCGCGTGTGTGCATTTAGCATTTACCCTTTGTCTAATGATATAATCACCACTCTGTTCTCTTATTAATGATAAGGGTTGATAGTAAGCAAAAGGTGTTTTGCCTCTGAACCAGGACTGGAATTAGTACAGCAATTAGTACACCAATGGGCCAGTGCTACAACTTAAAAATGATATGAAACCTGTAGATTTATAGCGAACCATTGATTACTGATGAATTAGCTTACGTAGATTGTCTGCGTTACGGAATTGACCTTTTCAAATAGTAAAACGGTAAATTTTCACCAATTCAGCTTCTTTTCCATCTTTGCTGTTGTGACCTAGAATTTGCAATTCACAGTTTAGTGAATAACCCCAAATTTTGGTGCCTTTGTGTTAAAGGAAAGGCATGTGTTTTTCCATCTTATTGCAAAAGGGGGGCGGGGGAGTCCAACTCCAGCATATATAATTTCATGCAGTGGAAACAATTTGTGTACCTGCTATGTTGGCTTCATTCTGTTTTTATTACGTACAGCTGGGGGTGCACAGGAAGTACATGGGAAGCAGGGTGGTTGCCAAATTGTTCTCTACGGCTTAAAAAGGAAATGGATGCACAATGTAATTTCAAAATGGAAAATTCCTTATTACAAAAATCAGTTCTCCATTCTTTTTTTTTTCTTTTTTTTTTTTTTACGTTTTTATCTCATCAACCTGAACATTTGTCACTTTTATATAGGCAGTCTAGTCGACATGCTCACCTCACGTGCCACATCCTGTTTGGAAGCAGAAAATCATCATAAACCTGTAGAATTACTACCAAATTACCCATTTGCAGCCAATACAATCTGTTTTCTTGCATCCCTTCTGATCTGTAATAATTGGTGTTGCATCCTAAACTGTCAATGCACCTTTTAATGTTGATGCATTTATTTACATGGGGGAAATTTTTATTCCTAACTTAAAGGGACACTATAGTCACCAGAACCACAACTGCTTAATGTAGTGGATATGATACCTATAGCCTGTCACTGCACTGTCAGACAGTGTTTATATTGCTGGCTAGTAACACCTCTAGTGGCAGATTTGAATCTATTTTAGTCTATTTTAATGCAGTACTTGCATTCAGTGTATCCACAATCTGCATGGATACACTGAATGTTCCCCGTAGAGATGCATTCATTCAATGTATCTTTTTGAGGCGATGCTTATTGGCGCAGCATGGCATTTCTTTCGGGAGAAATATCTTTTTCAGCACTATGTTAGGAATTGCATATTTTGATTTATATTTTAACACTCAAAGCACTTAAACTTGCTAAAGTGCTCTAAGGTTGATACCTGCCCCTGCAAATTTAAGAGATTTTTGGCTGATTCAGAGCACAGACAGGTTTGTGCAGATAAAGGTACATTGAGGAAGATTTCTGCCAGATCCATGCATTGGATCAAGAGATCAGCTGCTAAAATACCATTACATAGCAGCAAACAGATTTTTGAAGCTGCTGGTGCCTCTGGAGTCCCACGGACATCAAGGTGTAGAGTTCTCCAGAGTCTTGCAACTGTGCATAAACCTTCTACTTGGCCACCACTAACCAGTGCTCACAAGCAGAAACTGCTGCGTTGGGCAGAAAAATACATTAAGACTTATTTTCAAACAGTCCTGTGCCGTGCAACCCTGGATGGTCCAGATGGATGGATTAGTGGATGGTTGGTGGACGGCCACGCTATTCCAACAAGGCTGCGACATCAGCAAGGCGGTGGTGGTCATGTTTTGGGCCGGAAGCATGGGAAGAGAGCTGGTCAGCCCCTTTAGGGTCCCCGAAGGTGTAAAGATGACCTCTGCAAAGTATGTGGAGTTTCTGACTGACCACTTTCTTCCCTGGTACAGAAAGAAGAACTATGCTTTCTGTAATAAAATCATCTTCATGCATGACAATGCACCATCCCATGCTGCAAAGAATACATCTGCATCAATGGCTGCTATGGGGATAAAAGGAGAGAAAGTCATGGTGTGGCCTCCATCCTCCCCTGACCTCAATCCTATTGAGAACCTTTGGAGCATCCTCAAGCAAAAGATCTATGAGGGTGGGAGGCAGTTTACATCCAAACAGCAGCTCTGGGAGGCTATTCTGACATCTTGCAAACAAATTCAAGCAGAAACTGTCCAAAAACTCACAAGTTCAATGGATGCAAGACTTGTGAAGCTGCTATCAAATAAGGGGTCCTATGTTAAAATGTAACGTAATCCAGCTTCATCCAGTGTTTAATTTAATAAATAAAAAACACTCACACCCATGATTCCCATATACCATGTGTTTTGGTTTTTTTTGTGTGTTTATTTTTTTTATTTTATGTTTGTGATATCCAGGTCGGGGCGTATAGTAGCCCACTATAACTGTGTTTTCTTATCGTGTCTATCTTATTTTCTAATTCTCCATTTTGATAGGATGACCGATTGGGGACTGGCTGTGATAGTCAAGCCAGTTCATTATGATGTTGTGTTGCTGAGTAGGAAAAATACCAGAAAATGGGAAATTAAAAAGAATGTGGTTTTTTTTTTGTTTGTTTTTTTTGTATCACATGCATTATCATAAAAACATTCCTGCAATGTCAATTTAAGCACTGTTTCCAGTTTTATTTGAGTTGTTTGTTTTATAGTTTTGAAACTAATAATTTCTTTATAGTAACTAACGTGTATGTTTGCATATATTTGTGCTCGCCGGGGCAGAGTTTTTAGGCTAATGGAAATTTTGAGCCATATGTATGTGGGTTTACAAAGCTTCCTTTAAATATATATATTTTTAATTTTAACACTTCTCCTCTTCGCTACTTTCTCCTCTTTAGTGATGCAGGCCACAAGTGCCCAGTAGACAATGAGATTCTACTAGAAACCCAACTTTTCCCAGATAACTTTGCGAAGCGTGAAATTCTGTCACTAACGGTGAAATGTCCAAGTGATGGCTGCACTGCAAAGATGGAACTGCGACACCTAGAGGTAAGAGGAGTAAGCAGTATATCACTCAAAATGAATGTGTAAGTAAACCTGACTATCTAAAGCAGTGGGGTTCCCAGATCAGTCCTCATGGCCCAGCAACAGTTCGGGTTGTATGTTGTTTTTTTTTTCTATTCCAATGGAGATACTAACAAAACCTGGACCAGTGTTGGGTCTTGAGGGGTCATGGGAAGCACTAATCTAAAGTGTTAGGTTCTGATTAATTATGCCAAGCCAGGTGGCATAATTGAGTTAAGCAGTAAAGCTATAAAGGCACGATCTAAAGACTAAAACTGCTTCATTTTGATGCCTGTTGTATCCCTTTAATTCTAGTGGCTCTATTTTTATATATATATTGTCTAGAAATTATTTATACATGTTTGTTTTTGCAGCATCATAAAATGAAATGTGAGTTTGCCACAGTGGACTGCAGGCAGTGCCAGAAACCCTTCCAAAAGTTCAACCTGGATGCGCACATGAAAATGGATTGCCCGAGGCGGCAAGTGTCCTGCACAAATTGTGCCCAGCAAGTGCCATATGAGGACATGATGGTAAGCTCTGATGACATGAGGAAGAGGCTGATAAACATGTAAGAAAACCTTTTTTCAAGTCTTATCATGTGGCCCAGAATGGTGATATCCGTAAGCAAGCATCCTAGAAGTCTTTCTCGGCTCCTATAATAAGATCTATCATTGCAGAGATGTAGATCCATAGCATAAATATGAGAGAAGTTCAGGTTTTTAATTTTTTTATTACTTAGCTGGTGGCCAAGCTGTGCAGCAGTAGAGAGGTATTCATTATGACGCTTATGACGGCAAGACGTTCTGATTCTAAGGCTCAAAATGTGGTTGATGCTCCGTTTAGGCGGCAAATGTCTAATTTCTATGTCTAAACTGTAAGCAATATGCAGCTTTCTGGAAGAAAGTTTTAATTCAGCTAGATCATCCATCCTAATTCCTGTGACTTTCTTCCAACATTGCATCCTACAAGGCATTGTCTCAAGAGAGGCCTACTTACCCCATTTAGTTGAAACCATTAAAGGAACAATATAGTATCGGGAATACAAACATGTATTCCTGACACTATAGTCCTGAAGTGGCTGTTTAGGTGACCGACCCCCTCTCTTTGCACTAAAAAGATGAGTTTACTTACCCTTTTCTCCAGCACCGGTCTTATGCGCAGCAATATGCCACACTGCGCCAAACAGCATCTCTTCATAGAGGAGCATTGAATCAGTCTATGGAAAATGTTCAGCCTCCCTTGCAGAGCATGGAGACGCTGAACACTAGTACTGCACACTGTGTAGCACTGACACAGGAAGAACCTCTAGTTGCCGTCTGAAAAGGCAGTGTTAACTGTAGGGACATGCTATAGACACTAGAACCACTACATTAAGCTGGCATTACTGGTAACTATAGTGTCCCTTTAAAAGTTTTCACTTGTTGGATGGTTTTGTTTAGATAAGTGGTCACTTCTTCCTCAGCAAAGTGACAAATCCCATAGTCCAATGGCTGGAAGACACAATATCTACTATTATTTTGTAACATTGACATAGATCTTTAAGAATTCATGTATTTTGTAATTCACTCTGTAAAATTTGTATAATTGCAGCAGCATGATCAGAACTGCCCTCTCGCTTATGTGACCTGTGAATATTGCCAGGAGAATCTCATCCGAGATCAGGTAAGAGGTTTAGACCTCTCTCTTCTCTCAACGTTTGTTCTGGGCTGAGCTTTAACATTTTAAATATCAATGCAACTAAATGTATGGGCTGAATCTAAATAGAGAAGAGAACACTATAGCGTTAGGAATACATAGAATGTGACAGCAGATAAGAACCATTCAGCCCATCTAGTCTGCCCAATTTTCTAAATACTTTCATTAGTCCTCGGCCTTATCTTATAGTTAGGATAGCCTTATGCCTATCCCACGCATGCCTAAACTCCTTTACTGTGTTAACCTCTACCACTTCAGCTGGAAGCCTATTCTAAACAGTTGGCAGAAAGTATCCTTACCCCAGCTCTTCCAAATAAGTGAAAGAAATATGGTATAGCATAAATTATATCCAGAAATAAAGTGGAATCCATTTTTTGTGCATTCTGAATATGAATGCAATTTTGGTTACTTTCCTAGACACACTAAATTGGAATCCATTGGTTGTTTTTAGCAAATAACTTTATATCCAACGTCCTGTTCGAACATAGCTGACTGTAGGTGACTTTTCTCACTCTCACAGCAAGGCAAGTGTCACTGCAGTGTAGATACAGTAAAGAAATAAAACCAAGTTAACCGGGTATACTAAGCTTTAGTCTTTGTGCTGAGTAAGTTTGTATTTTGTAATGACAAAGGAAAGTGGCTTTACTTGAATTCTTTATTCCTCTTTTCAAAAGCTTTGTCTGTGTCTAAACCAATCACAGGATTTAACCAATGGATTTCCCCTTTGACGGTTTTTTTTTTTGGGGGAGGGGTGGTGTCAGACTGCTTTCAACTTCGTTCAGTAATTCTGTTTAGTCTAAATGTAGTAATAATTATAGAAATGTCTATTTAGAACCAAGCAGTGTCTTCAGATCTCTGTAATTCTGCATAAAAGTTAGGTTTCAGTTTTCAAGAAGGAATACATAGCAGGTAATCTGGTTAATACATTCACATATGTCTCTCTTATGGGATTCCACATGCAGCGTGATTACAAATCCACATGTCTGTAAATTACTGTGTTTTTATATATTTATTTTTTTGTCTTTCTTTTTAGCTCCATAATCATTGTGCTATGGATTGTGAAATGGCCCCAATTACCTGCACATACAGTCAGTTTGGATGTACAGCAAAGGTACCTTTAGAAATCTTTATATAGTTTACATTGATGGATGTACATCTAAGGAGTAATGTGGTTTTTGGGTTTTTTTGTGTGCATTTTTATTTTATGTAAATAGGTTTTTAGTTTTGTCGTTTTTATATAGATATATGTATATACAGAATAGTTTTTCTTTGTAGTGCAAAATTTACAAACACAATAGTTGAAAAATGGGGACATCCAGAATATTCCAAAATATTTTAAAGAAACGAGAGCAAACCCATAACAAATCTTCAAAAAGTTGACTTATTTTGGAAATGAATTTTCTTTTTCTTTTTTCTTTCCTCTTCTTTCACGCTGTAGCCTTATGCTATAATTGTTTTCATTATTTTGTTATTTGTTTCACATCAGTCAACACTCAATACTCCATAATGATAAGTCGTGTGTGAGAGGGAGGACTAGATTTTTTTGTTTTGTTTTGTTTTTGTTTTTTAATAGCATTCTAGGATAATCTAAAAATTTTAGATGAAATGTCTCCCTCTGTCTTTTAATACCATGGTATGCATTTCTACCTTAGTAACATTACAGCCAAATTACTATCAATTCCATCTATGACGCTCTTTACTCCCCTCCCCCTCCCCTCCAAAAAAAAAGGGTCACTGCGAGGGAGTAGCAGGATCTTGGAGCAGGTTTTTGATGCTAAACTAAATTAACAAATAATTAAAAAAAAAAAGCTTAACACATTAAATTGTCAGCCTGTTATGGTGGTTGTTCCCCTAGCCTGCCCCCTTGCACAATCCCCAGTTCTTTGTCAAGCCACCTTTTAACTGTATGACACATACAAAGTTCCCCAGATTCCCCTACTCCGGCCCCCTGCTCGAATAATTGTATTTCAAAAACTCTCTCTCAAGTGTTTTGAAACAAAACTAAGGAGATGTCACCATTGACATAGCAAAGTCAAGGGTCAATCCTGCTATTTGTGTTTCTTCTCCCCAAAGCGGTTCCTTGCCAAGGATGTTTTATAATAGTAAATGTATAGGGACCCATTCATTTTCATATTAAAATATCTGCTTTACATGAGTAGGCTAGTATATACTAAAAGAACCTGTTCACTAAAAAAATGAAGTGAAGGAAACTGCAATATGCAGCAAACTTGGGGGAAAAAAGAGGTTCTATTTCTAGTTTCGCTATTTTGCATTTAGTTTGCAAATCCACCACAATTCACTTTTTATGGCGTTATTCACGGAACTGAGAATTGTCAGAAATATTCTCCAAGTCTGCTGTGCTTCCAGTTTGGCTACTTACTTAAAGGACCACTATAGGCACCCAGACCACTTCAGCTCAATGAAGTGGTCTGGGTGCCAGGTCCCCCAGGTTTTACCCCTGCAGCTGTAAATGTTTACACTAGGGTTAATTCAGCCTCTAGTGGCTGTCTCACTGATAGCCGCTAGAGGCACTTCCGCAATTCTCACTGTGAATATCAGTGAGAAGACGCTGGACGTCCATAGGAAAGCATTGAGAAATGCTTTCCTATGGACTGTCTGAATGCGCGCACGGCTCTTGCCGCGCATGCGCATTCAGCGCGTACGTCGGGAGAGGAGGAGATTTGCCCAGCGCTGGAGAAAGGTAAGTGTCTAACCCATTCAGCCCAGCGGGAGTGGGAACCTAAAGACCCTATAGTGCCAGGAAAACGAATTTGTTTTCCTGGCACTATAGTGGCCCTTTAATACAGAGCCCTGGTGACTATGCCCTGTGGTTACCACAGTGCTAGCGAATTTAGTGATACACTTGCTCTTGCCTGGTTTCTTGTCACTGTTGTCTCCATAAATGGAACACCAGAGGACAAAATGCTGCTTGTGATATTGCATGTTTGTAGGAATGATGCCTGAGGAGTTGCTTGTAAGATGGAGTTTTGGGAGGAGTCTACTTGTGGGATCTAATTTAAGGATGGGGCTCTATGTGGTGATGTGGGCGGGGTAGGGCCTTTAGTGTATGTGGATATGAGCATTTGTGTGGTGTTTAATACTGGCTATAGTGTGTAGAGGGGTACATAGGACAAGTAGTGTGTGCATATGACAAGATAAGGGCTGAAGGGTTTTGGAGGTAAGGACTGTAGAGGGGGAAAGGGGCTGTAGTGCTTGGCATGTTAAAAAATAACAGTGATTTAGTTCAGATCATAGGTGATTTACTGTGGGGGTTAAAGGCAGTATTGGTGGATATGGGCTTTTGGTTAGGCATAAAAACATAGTTTATTACCCTCTCCAAATGCCATGGAGGGGATGGAGTTAATCCCTGGTTGTCCAATGGGCTGATTATTTGGTTTGCACCCCCAGCGGATTTAGACCACATGTACGACTCCCTCATGGCATATGACAGTCAGTAAGGAATCAGAGCATTGCTGTGGTATTACACGGTAATGCTCTGATCCACTACAGAGAGTGATTCAGACAGTCTGCATCAGTTGAAGATGCAGTTCATAAGCGGACTAGGCAACCCCATAGCACCTCACAGGGTGTTTGCTTCAGATACCATTTGCCTCTGCTAGCGGGTTCCTCACCAGGCATGTGCTACGTTTCTGGGAGGCACTATAGCCGCTACAGCCATATTTTTAACAAATGTATACATTGCGCCACATTTGTGGGCGCTTAGAGTGTCCCTATAAAAGAAGTATGTAAAATCAGTCTGTGGATTGATGACTAGAGTAGATTTGAACTTCACTGATAGATAGATATAACATGTCAGCCATTTATTGTTGCACATGGTAGATGCAATGCTGGTTTCCATTTAATATATGCATTTTATTTTTTATGTTCTTCAGATGCAGCGGAATGAGCTGGCTCTTCATCTGCAGGAATTCACCCAGGCTCATATGCAGATGATGGCACATACAGTGTTCAACATCAGCAGCAGTCTTACCCCTACAAGCCCTCTATCCAACCTCTCCTTTACAAACTTAGGAGCATTTCAGCCTGGTCCTCCCTCTGTGCTTCCGGTCCCTTCATCCCTTCTGTCACATCAGCATGACTGCAGCCAGGAGACACAGCACTTGAGGGAGACCATCGACCAGCTGGAGGGGCGCTTGGTGAGACAGGATCATCAGATTCGAGAACTAATCGCCAAGATGGAGACACAGACCAACTATGTCACAGAACTTAAACAAACAATACGATCCCTGGAGGACAAAATGGTAGAAGTAGAGGCTCAGCATTGCAATGGCATCTTTGTATGGAAGATTGGTAATTTCAGTACACACCTGAAAAACCAAGAGGAGGACAGACCAGTGGTAATACACAGCCAAGGGTTTTACACTGGTAAGCCTGGATACAAGCTCTGCTTAAGACTGCACCTTCAGCTTCCCAGTGCGCAACGCTGTTCCAATTATATCTCCCTCTTTGTTCACACCATGCAAGGAGAGTATGACAGCCTCCTTCCTTGGCCTTTTCAGGGAACCATACGTCTTTCCGTTCTTGACCAGTCTGAAGGCTCTGTTCGACAGGATCAAGAAGAGGTGATGGAAACTAAGCCAGACCTTTTGGCTTTCCAGAAGCCCACAAGTTTTCGCAACCCTAAGGGATTCGGCTACGTCACTTTTATGCACATTCAAGCACTGAAGCAGCGGCAGTTTTTAAAAAATGACACTCTTCTAGTACGCTGCTCTGTCATCACACACACAGAAGCAAATAGCCTGCGTAGAGAAGGATTTAATCCACGCAGTTCAGATGGAACACTATGATCGCAGGGCTCCAAAGGAACCTATATTCTTGTAAATGGTGTTATGTTCTCAATTTCTTTTATTCTTTAAAGGGATACTAAGCGCATCAAAACAACTTGAGACTTTGTAAAGCAGCTTTAGTGTATTGATCATGCCCGCAAAGTCCCCACTGTTCAAATCTCTGCCATTTCGAAGTTAAGTCACTTTTGTTTCTGTTTATGCATCCTCCCCTGGCTGTGACTGACACAGCCCACATGAGAAAAATGGTTTCGTTTACAATCAGATGTTAACTTACTTTAGACTGTAAACTATATTTTACTTGCACACAGAGGGCCCCTGCAGGTTCTAGAAGGCTATTAACAGAAGATAAAAGATTTTAGATTAAACAAACCGTGCAATACAGGAACCTAAAATACATCTGTGCCTTTTTAAGGAAGTGTTTAGGAAGGCTGTATGGTCACATGCAGAGAGGTGTGAACAAAATGACTTCCTCCTAAATGGTAGAGAACATAATAGGAGATGTAGTCAAAAGCATTTGTACAAGTTATGATGTTCAGACTATAGTATAAAACTTAAATAAAATTTGCATTTATTATTCAATTCATATATTTTTGCACCAAAAGTAGGATGGCTGTATTGTCCTAAAGGTTGTTCATTTTATATTCAGTTCACTGCTTGATGAATAATCCACCTAGAGTTCCTTTGATGCATACTGAAATTCTACCTTAAAGGGAAAAAAAACACATGCACCAGATCCATTATTGCACACCGTGGGTGTGGAAATTTAAAAACATCTACTTGTCCAGGCAACTACAGTAGCCCAATCCAATTGTCAGTCATGAAAATCTATTTGTCCTGACACAAAATTAAAATTTAGAAAGTTTGGGGATCCTTCTTAGACCTAGAAATTAGCAGGCTTATTCACTAAACTATGAATTTTCCCAGATTAAAACTGAATGGTAAAACTGAGGCCAAAATAGCTGATCTGGAAAAATACGCTAATCCCGCTATAGTCTATTTTAATTTGCAAAAATTGGAAATTTAGGGTCTCATCTGTGTGTGCATAGCGTGCTGACTGTACGTAATGTGTCTGGTATATGTTTACGGTTTGTGATGTGTCCTGGCTTTACGTTTTGTGTGCTGAATGTGTGGTTTTGTATTTCTGGTGTGCGGATAGAGGACATACAATTAGAGTTGCAAAGGTTAAAAAAATATCTGTAAGTATTACTTTACTGAGAAGGTAGTGGATGCATGGAATACCCTTACAGCTGAAGTGGTATAGATTAACACAGTGAGAGAGTTTAGGCATAAGACTATCCTAGATATAAGATCAGGCCAGGGACTAATGAAAGTATTTTTAAAAAAATATTGGGCAGACTAGATGGGCCGACTGGTTCTCGTCTGCTGTCACATTCTATGTTGATGGGGTGGGGGATAATGCGTCACACTGAAGCAAAGTTTGGGATCACTTCAAGTGCCTCCGAGAATGGTCGACTTGCAAAATACAAATTCTGCAGTAAGGAAGTGAGCATGGATAGGGCGAGTAAAGGGCCATCTCAAGTGCTGGTATGAAGTAACATCTGTAAAGATACCACAATTCTGCATTAGTGAGCAAAGAAGCAGAACAAGAAAGTACCGGGGCAGGCAGCTGGTCTACTCTTATTGTATTTGATTGTGCGCAGATGTCACAATCTACAGCTAGCGCTACCACCCCCACCACTACCACCATCCGTAGGCAGGACAGGAGGGATGGTGAGGTTAGTGCCCGTAGTCGACAGGGAGGTTGTACACTTTGATTCACTGATTGAGGATTGTTTTACTGATTTTGTAATTTTACTGTTTTCTAGTAAGTGACTGATTAGATATGCAATTTGCTTCAGTGCCATTCCTTCTGCTTTGAAAATTGCAACTCCTTCCCTTAGTAATACACAGTGTGTGGCTGCAATTTACTGCACAAGTGAACACCCCCTACACTGAGTGTGGCAGTAGTTGTGTTACAGACAAGGTATTATTGAAGATAAAGAATGCGTTTTTAAAGCCTTTTATTTTTTGTACAGTGCTTTCTATTAAAGGGCTAGTTGTTGACAAGAGACAGTTGGACTCCTCATCATGCTAGGGAAGTGTCCACCAGCCCACTCTCCAACATTTTGTTGGATTACATTCCAAGGCCGTGTCAAAATATGGATGTGTCAAAACAGCAACCTAACAAAATCACTCACCTGATTGCCCAGGTGGGTGATTTTGTTAGGCTGCTGTTTTGAGTACTCCCACTGGCCAGTATACCTTTCTTGGTGATAGCCCACGGTGCCTTGGTATGGTAGTTTTGGAGGTCCAACCTTGCTGCAAATCATATTTGAGAGTTTTATGATTACTGAGCATTTCCCCTGTCAAGACGCTCTAAATCATGAGGTAGAAGCAAGAATAAGAGGGCTTCCCACATTCTACGACAGGATATCCGTACACGGTGGAATTCTACTGTAGACATGGCATAAAGAATTTTGGAACGGCAGAATGCAATCCATAGTCTATCTTCCCACTTCATTGGCATTGACTGAGGTATGAGAATTGCACAATAATAGGGCAGCTACTGTCAGCTATATTTTCCATTTAGAGATGTGACAGAAACTGTAGTAATGCCTATTTTGGGCAGGTCATAAAAAATAAAACGTAAATTACTCTTTCTGCTAATCCCTCCGCAGACACAGTTGGGATAAGCTTTTTTTATTTTTTTTTCCTCTCTCCACACTGCAGTGACTATGGTCACTGATGTCAGAGACTGTGTGGGAAAGATTTGTCGTTGGTCAATTACCCACTAACGGTTTCCTTTTATTTGGATAAATCCCCTATTTTGAACATGAAATGACTACTACTCCTCATTTTTCATTAATACAAGATGCCAAAAGGAAAATAATTACAATCCATCATTCTAAAAATGAGTTCTCTATATGGAGTTCTTCCTAATTTTTCTTTTAATCTAGATCTATAATAACTTTAGTTTGGCATTTTAAAATTCGTATAATTTCGTAACCATTAGGCTACGAAATGATACGAATGTTGCATGTCAACACAGTCATAGGAAGCATTTTTCATGCTTGTTTAGCTGTTTGAATAGCAATCGCGATTTTTATTTTGTACGAAATCCAGCCAAGCTGAACTGCAGCACAAACTTATTTTTGCCGGATTTAAATTTTTCCTCCCACAGTGCACAAGTTTAAATATTAATCCGCTTGCAGAAAGGCACTTACTCTTTTGAGTTTTCAACTCCTGCAAACTCTACAATTGTCTGCAGGGGGCAGCAAATCCCAGAGAACAAAAGATGAAATGTAGTATAATAAAAAAAATAAAAAAAAATGTGGTGGTGGTGATGATGGTGAAAGGGTGCTGGGGGAGTTTTATTCACTCACAGTGTCATGTATTACCGTTTGTGTTGCTCTGGTACTGATGCAGAATTCGTTTTACAAAATTACTCTCACTCCAAAGCCACAGAGCATGTGCCTTAATTTCTGACTTGAGTTGTGCACTGATCAGCCCTGCCGAGTCAGAACCAATTTTGAGTTACTGGAGTCAGTGTAAATATACACTCAGATTAAATGCTCAGGATATGGAGGGATATAAATCGACCTCGATAAATTGGAGAATTAGATGTTTTATAGGTTTAGGCCTATTCAGTGGTGTACATAGAATATGGCAGGTAGGGCACATGCACTAAAGTATTTTTTAGAATACCAGAAAAGTTTACATTATGAGAAAGATAATTTAAAGGGATAGTATAGTGTAGGAGTACAAAGCCGTATATCTTACACTATAACTCCCTCCGAGCTCCCCCCCACATACCCACACTCACAGCCAGTGGTGTATCCTGGTTTTGTGCTGCCCTAGGCAGGACAAAAGTCAGGCGCCCCCCCAACCCTTCCCCCCCGCCCCGCCTTCTAAATACACACACATTCACTGACATACGCATACACTCACTAACAGAAACACACACTCACAGGCAAACACACTCACACTAACAGACGCACACACACACAGTCAGACACACACACTCACTAGCAGACACACACACTCACTGACACAAAGTCAGACACACACTAACAGACAAACAGTCAGACACACGCTAACAGACACACGCTAACAGACACACACACAAACTCACACTAACAAACACACACATTAACAGACACTCACAGGCAAACATACTCACACTAACAGACACACTCACTGACACACACACTCACTAGCAGACACACACACACTCACTGACACAGTCAGATACACACTAACAAACACTCACTAGCAGACACACACAAACTCACACACACTCACTGACACACTCACAGGCAAACACTCACACTAACAGACACACACACACACTCTCACAGGCAAACACACACTAACAAACACACTCACTAGCAGACACACACACACACACTAACAAAACACACACACATTAACAGACACACACTCACTCACATTAACACATTTTTTTTTATCCCCCCTCCCCCCCTCCAACCTCCTTACCTTTGGGGTTCATTACCTCCCTGGTGGTCCGGTGGTTGCCGGGCTGGGCGGGCGGCTGGCGAGGGAACACTTCCCCTGAGCAGTCTGCTCAGCTCCCTCGCGCGCCGCAGAGTGAGGCTGGGAGCCGGAAGATGACGTCATATTCCGGCTCCCAGCCTCATTCTGCGGCGCGCGAGGGAGCTGAGCAGACCGTTCAGAGGAAGAGCTCCCTCGCCAGCCGCCCGCCCAGCATGTCTGTTAGCCGCCAGGCCAACAAGGCATTTGCCCTGGGCATTTGGGAGGCGGCATTTTTTGCCGCCCCCTGAAAACTGACGCCCGCGGCTAAAACGCCCCTGCTCACAGCGCATGTGGATTGGCTCCCCTGGTGGGTGACGTCAGATGCTTTGATGTCACCCGATGAGGGAGCCAATCTGCATGCGCAGCGAGTCCGCAAGCGTATTATGCGCTCTCCATAGGAAAGCATTGCTGCAATGCTTTTCTATGGGGATTTAACAGACACTGGA